CAGGAACGTGTGGGGTTAAAGAGAAGATACAACTGTTTATCATCTCCATGTAAATAACTTCTTGTGTTACATTAAAAGAACGCCGTGTATTCAGAAAAGAAAGGCCTGCAATAACCCACTGAAACACACCTCGAGGACATTTTGAAGATAAGGGAATTGAGTTACAAGAAATGCCTTTCAGAAAATAAATCTGAACCTTAGCAGGGCCAAGCCTCCAAGTCTAGCTTTTTAAAAGAAATTACTTAATAAGAAGTGTTAAAAAAAAGCCAGCGCTGAATGTAGTTTCACAATAAAAGCACAAATAGGTGAGTGACAAAAGCCTGCACTGACATAATATTCTAATTGGTAATTTCCATTTCATCTAATATTCAGAAAAGACCGATCCCAAAAATAAGTTTTACTGCTTTTTGCTAATAACTTAGGAACACAAAGTTGTTTACTCGTTATACAAATACTAAGAAAGTAAGACTCATTTTTTGTATCTGATACTTACATCTATGAACACAATGAACTCGACTAAATCAGCAGTCAGAAACACATTACTAAAACAAATAATTATCGGTAATCATTTTTATTCATAACTATTAAACATAATGAAAATCCAGAAAACAATATGAAGCTGTGCAAATTGCAAGTAAATTGCACCTTTTTTTTTTTACATTCAACTTTTTAGTCATTACCAGTAATTCTTTATCAAAAACAAGGTATTAGACCTTAGTACAGACAAAGAAGAAACTGAAACCAGCTGTTTGTTTGAATGATTTGTAAATGGTGTTCATGCAAAATAAATAAATAAATCAATTAAAAAAGACTGACTTTATTCACATTTTAATGTTTTGTGTGGTTTGGAGAACTAAACAGAATTAAATAGCTTAATATGGTGTCCCCTAAGGCTCTATTTTAGGCCCCTTACTTTTTAATTTGTACATGTTGCCACTTGGGTCATCAGGAGCCATGGAATAAGTTTCCACAGTTATGTTGATGACACACAGCTATAAATCTCATCTCACGATGACCCCCAGCCAATCACTGCACTTTTAATTGCATTTCAGACAAAAACCTGGATGGCACAGAACTTTCTCCAGCTAAACCAGGGCAAAACAAAAGTTGTAATCATTGGACTGGACATTCAGAAAGAAAATACAATTCAGAAATTACAAACTTTGTCTTTAAAACCTTCAAAAAAAGTAAGAAGCCTGGGAGTTCTTTTTGACTCCGAGCTTACTTTTATTCCACATATCAAACGTATAGTCAAAACAGGATTTTACCATCTAAAAATTATTTACAGAGTCCGCCCTCCTCTCACTCTCACCAATACTGAGACTTTGATGCACATTTTTATTTCTAGCCATTTAGAGTACTGTAATGCACTGCTTTCTGATCTCCCTAAGAAAAAATTGTCCAGTCTTCAGCTGTTACAAAACTCTACTGCTCGTGTGCTAACCAAGACCAGAAGGCAGAGTTATATTACACTGATTTTAAAATAATTACATTGGCTCCCTGTGCACCTCAGGATTGATTTTAAGATTCTTCTAGTGGTTTTAAAATGTCTCAGTGGTCTTGCACCATCTTATCTCACATAGCTGCTATTACCTTATGAACACTGTGGACCCTAAGGTCCTCTGGCACTGGACTACTAACAGCTCCAATAGTCAGAACTCACACCGTGAGGCTTCTTTCCAGTACTATTGTCCCTGTCTTTGGAATAGTCTGCTGGAGAACCTGAGGGGCGCAGAGAATGTTGTTTTTATGAGCAGGCTCAAGACTCATCTTTTTAACTGCATTTCCTAAACTGGATCATCTCTGCTCAGTCTATATATTTTCCATATAATTGTGTGTCAATTGGCAGAGGGGAGGGTATTGCTTGCTTTTATCTTGTGGGTTTGTTCATAATTCTGTACAGTACTTTGAGCTGCTTTTAGTATGAAGGGTGATTTATAAATAAAACTGACTGATAGGTTGATTGATAAAGAACTAAATAGTGGGTAAGTAAAACTTCATGCCTAGTGTGAGATAAGTGAGAATGGTACCCCAGCAAGTTAATTTAAAGCCAAAATTAGAAACGCCATCAAATAAGGAAGACTTTGTTACTCTGAAAGACTCTACTCGAGATGTCTTGGACAACTGCTGGAGTTTGAGGGGCCACAGAAACCACAAACAGCACAAAAGTCCACCCAAAGGAACAATAATTTATTTCTGAGCATAAATTAGATTATATATTTTAGAAGAATATTGGGAAAGTTGAATAAATTGTGTCAGAAACCATATTCACATCTGGACCTTTTATAGCAAGCCTAAAGCAATAACAAATTTGAAAAATATGAAAGATCACATCTACTCTCCAGGGTGAGGCTAGATACTCACAGTTCTTCCAAAAATCATTAGTAAACTACGAGTTTTTGGCACATTGGAATCTACAAGGTTATCTGCTTGTTTTCTATGTCCCTCAACATCTTGAGGGACATTCATTTGTTCATTCTGGGTTCATCTGTCCCCAGAAAAACTGTATATCAACCTACATGCATTTAAGTACAGCTAATTTAGTTAAAGACACTAAAATAAGAATCCAACAGTGTTCAGTCAGGTCATCTGGACTGTTCCTTGTTTTGTTGAGACATTTCACCCTCCATCCAAAGGGCTTCATCAATCTGAGAAGTCACATACAAACTGTTTTCCCCACCAAGCAGTACACTCCTACAGTGGACCAACCAGTTTGCTGGTGATAAGATGGTTTCTGGGGACTGTTCTCTCCTTTATCGACTCCTCCCAGGCAACTACAGCCAAAATGATGGTGATGGAGGGCGAACCGTCTCTCAACAAGGGAACTGTCTAGATGACTGACAGAATATTGCTGTATTTTATACCTGGATTATTGAGCATGAACTTTAATGACTAAAATAAGAACTTTTATAAATCAATGTAGGACAACAGCCAATCATGCTCAGATATTCCTGTGCACCTTTACAAAAAATGTTTTGCAAGTGTTTTACCAATGAAAATATTCTGGACCCTATTGACTTTGGAGAGCAAGAAACATCTAAAACTACCATTAGCTGTTGAGCAAAGTAAAAAAGTGTTTTGTTTTTATTTATTTTATTTTTTACTTAATTTTTGCTTTCAGATAGGTCAACCAAACTGACAACCAGCAGCCGAGGAAAACCAGCTGTTTGAACAAATTTGCATCCTTGCACATTTTTGGGACAAGTCCTTTGAGACTCACTCCCCTCTATAAATAAGTGTCTTTAAGGCCATCTTATTCCCATGTACACTAACATAAATCTGATCATGAAGTTATTCTGTACTTGTCTTTACACATATTTTATTTCCCATCATTTATCTTGCCACTTTTTTAGTTTTTCCGTTGCACGTTTTAAGAACCCCAAAAATGTTTTTTTTTTGTTTGTTTTCAAAACAGGGTCCAGAGTGCTACTCTGCTGTTGGACTTCAACAGCCACATGGATAGCAAAAGCGTAATTTAGAGGGGTGTGACTGGTAGGAACCTTCTGACCTGAACCCGAGTAGTGTTCTGTAATTGAATTTCTATGCTACTCGCAGTTTGACCAAAACAGAAAGTGTATGGATGGGTTCAAGAGTGGAGAGATCTTGAAACACAATCTGTGTGTTGTTGTGTAGACAGACAAAACCTAGACTTTTGAAAACAATGTCATATTTCTGACCTGAAAATCTGTGTTTCTGTGTAAACAACGCCAGAATCTGGTCTTAAAATATGTGATGGAAAAAGTTTACGAATGAGTGAAAATGGTGATAAAAGAGACTACAAACGTTTTGGAGAATCTTAAGCTGGGCTCAGTGTGTTCTACCATTATATTATAAATATGTGGCATGGGTCTTTTAGGCAGCACAGTGGCACAACTGGTAGAGCTGCTGCCTCTCAACAAGCAGGTTACCCTGGTTCAAATCCCGGTCCGGGGACCTTTCTGGGTGGAGTTTGCATGTTCTCTCCGTGCATGCGTGGGTTTTCTCCGGGTACTCTCGTTTCCTCCCACAGACAAAAAAAAATGATGTTAGGCTGATTTGTTTGTTTCGTTTGTCTCCATGTGGACCTGTGATGGACTGGAGACCCGCCCAGAGTGTACCCCGCCTCTTGCACAGTGATGGCTGGACATGGGTACCAGTGGCCCCAGCGACCCAAAAAGGAAGAAGCGGGTAAAAGATCATTGATGGATGCGTCATTTAGGGTTTCAGTTTTCGTGTATGGAACAGAGGGGATAAAAACTTTAAAAAGTAATTGCAGCAGTGTAACCAGGGCCAATGTTTATTTTGAAAAAAAAAATAAAAAAAAAATAATAATAATAATAATAAGAGGATCACCAAAATTAACAGAATAAAACCTCTAAAGTTCAAGACTTTTCATGAAATGTTTGAACATTTCATGAAAACTCTGAATTAAGATGTAACGCCAACCAACACGCTACCAAACATTTAACCTTCCTTCCTAAAGTTTAGATGCAATAAAAAAATGTGTAGAAGAGAAAAACAAAAGAACAAGGCTCATCTGTCAGCAGTACAGCTCATGGATTAATATGCTTATTTGTAATCAAAACTATATATTGGTTTATCTACCACAAAGTAGGATTTGTCTTTACTAATAAAAAGTCTTAATTTATAATAAGATGAGCTGAATATGTGTAGAATGAAAGCGTGAGTGTGTTTGTATATAGCTACACTTCTGAGTGTTGTGTGTTAATCCTGAGTGAAAAGCTCTGTTTTTACTAAGGAAGGCAGCAGGGGGAGAACCCAGAGGGCCTCTATGTGGTGGCCCTGTAAGCCCATGTGAATAAGCCTCAATTCGCAGGCTCCCCACGAGGACGCACGGCCAATTAAGCTGACAGTCAGAAGCCCATTGACCAGTCACAGAGATTAAACGCCGGGCCATCTCATGGCTAAAACCACCTGCAGGATGGAGGGAGTGATGGAAAGCAAGAGAGGAGTAGGAGGAGAAAATGGTAATAGATACAGAGAGACGTGCCGATACTCACTGTTACTTGTTGCTTCGGTAAAAGGCACCTTTTGTCCATTCCAGCCTTTGTTGTCCATCTGAAGTGATGCAGAAGGGGAGAGAGAAGAGGGAAGTAAGAGAGATGTCGATTCTTGAGCAGACAGCTTCTTCACGCATGTCAGACAAGTTCCTCCCTACTGTTTGGTCCACAAAGAGACAAGTACTCACATGAGACGCCTAAGAAGACTACTGCTTCTCTTCGCCAACTACTCGTTTAGAGGCTGTTGTCAACGTTTAGGAACCTAAAAAGCTTGTTTTCAACGTGTTAATTCTTCTGTGATGCATGTTTCTGCCTGCACAAACATACATGTGTCCGCTGAAGACACGCTATGGCTGTGAACAAATGCATCCCCGTCTCTGATCTCTAGTGGACGAAGGCAACGTAAATAATTTGCAGGAGAAAAATGGAGTGTGGAGTGTGATGGAAGTGATCCTTAAAAAGACAAATTCTTCTACGGCGGCTATAAAGCTCAGGATCTTCCGCAGATATAAAGCAAGGTGGGGCGCACAAAAAGTTCTTAAGATGGAAGTTTTACAGACATAAAGTCATTTATCAGCCGCTAATTCAATTTAGTCTAAATATTCTGCTTAAAAATCTTAAACAGAACACTAGAAACAAATGTAAATGTTGTCAGGACTGTTTACTTTGGAGATCAAAGCAAAAAAAAAAAAATCAATGACTCAGCTGGGTTAGGGTTTCTTAGAATAGACAACTAGCCATTAAATTATGACCATCCCCAATATGGAGGGGGATACAGTTTGTGCCAACAAAACAACAACCCATAGCCAACAAGCATAGGTCTAGAACTAAGATGTGCTCTTTCAGCAATGTGAGTTTTTCAGTAGCTCTTCTTTTAAACTGGACAGCACACGCCATCCTTCACTCCACAGGTGTAAATTATGACCCTGCCTTTAGATCACCAGTTTTCCACAGACCATTTATGGTAAAACCTAACTAATACAAACATCCAACAAGAACTGCAGGTTTAGAAATAGTTCATAAAAGCTGCATTAAATCAGAATTTGGCCCTAGTCATAATTTCCTAAATAATAATCCTTCTCCTGGTTATTAACAGTACTGCTATCGCATGATGATCTTGTCTGGTTGCCTAAAAATATATATATATAAATATAGCATCACATATAATTAATGGGCTGTCCAAAGAATAATTGATATTCAGCAAAAAGCTTCGTTACGTAACAACATTTTCCTAATTCTGCTCTAAGAGCTCTTGAGCCTAAAATGCAATGAGGTGAATAGTGATCAATGGCTGCTTGCAAAACAATCATTTCAGAGGAGCTGAATGAGTTGCATAAGAGGTCAGCAGCACAGAGACCTGTGATCAACCTGAGCATAAATTCACAGTCAGTAAATCTGCTGAGGAAATAAAACATACATTGAAAATACATTGCTTAAAGCCCAAACTAATAACTATTCTTTATTTATCGTATTTTCCGGACTATAAGTCACTTTTTTTATTCATGGTTTGCCCAGTCCTGCGACTTATAGGCTGAAGCGACTTATATACATTTTTTTTTCTCTATTCACGACAACGTTTTTGACTGAAGGCGTTAAATGTTCATTCATACTGACATGAACCAAAGAGTAAACATTACCATTTGCAGCAGCGAGGGGGTCCTCTAGGCTTTTTACAACTATATGTTGTTCCTCTACTGCTAGCCCCGCCCCAAAACATTTATTTAGAGACAACTGAGAAAAACTCAACAAGTAAAATGCCCCCAAAAGAGATGTAGAATGAGACCGGTGAATTTACCGATAACTTACTTGTCGGACTCGTTGGCTTGTTATGTTAATTAAGCGTGTTCAGTTTGGATCCCAGGTATGTTCTGTGAGTTATTGTTATTTCAGATTAAATGTCTGTTCTTGCACTTTGTGAAATACACTTCTAAATAAATGTGACTTATATATAGTTTTTCCTCTTCGTGAGGCATTTTTTTGACTGATGCGACCTATTCTCCGGAGTGACTTATAGTCCGGAAAATGTGGTAGATAGGCATTTCATTTTGGTTAAAGATTTTACTTTATTTAAAAAAAATGCTTATTGGAGTCCACGAGAAGACTCTAAATAACTTTCTAAATAACTTTGCATTAATGGTCGGTCGTCCGTCCTCTTTATCCTGTTTCTTCCTTTTCGGGATGCGGGGGTCACTGGTGTCCATGTCCAGCTCATAAACTGCCAACCTTAGCTGTTATCTCAGCAAAACAATGACAATTTTCAACCTCTAAGAAATTAAATAGTTACATACAACAACAAACTGGGGGTGAGGGTTGTATATACTAAATATACAAGCTGGCATAAAGACTAGTTTAAAAGTATAACTTTTACCTCTGAAGGGGTCTGAGGGACTGTGGAGGCCTTGTATCCCAATTGTAGCAGCATCGCCTCAGCAGCGTTCCGCTTGGCCACCTTCTTGTTGGGCCCTGTTCCCGTGGCAACCTCGTTATTAACCTTCACCTGCATCAGCACACAAAGACAGACACAGCATCAGAATATTAAGGCTGCACGGTTACATTACGCTCCGGTGTTATTGACCATGTGACTTTCTTCTAGCTTTTATGCTTCCGTTCACTTGCAGCTGAGAACAATCGCTCTCTGAGCCAAGTCAGCCATGCAACATGAAGTGTTTGTTTTCCAGTAATCCCAAAGCATTAAATCTGTCTATACAGAATGTAAGCAGAAATTTCCAAGAGAATATCAGCCGTCGTCGTGTTATGCAAACAGACAATTACACTGTACAAATAACATTCTGGGAGCCAAAGCCTGTGAACAAGCAGGGCTCAGCACACTTATTCAAAGTGGCCTGACAAGCTCAAGTACTGCCCTGAATGCATAAAGTAAGCAACAACACACAGCAAGGATAAACAACGCGCAACCACATCACTAAACAGAATCACTTTTTTAATTGGATATTAAAAACTAATCAGCTCCTATTCAATAGAAGGTGGAGTTTTTACTCAAACCAGTGATGGGTTTAAAGAAAAGATGTGAAAACTGAGGCTCATTTGAGCTCTGCTGCCTACCGAGGGAAACAATGTGGAAATTTTAGAAGAGTGAGTGGACTGCACAAAAGAACACACACACTCAGGGCCTAATGTGTGTATCAAAGAGGCATGGAGAATAGGTTTGAGGCTGAATTACTGCCTGATGCTGAGAGAAGCTCTGTTCTTCGTTTGAAAGAAGAGGATTACGGAAGAAAAGACAAAGGAGGGAGATTTTGACTGAGAGACGGAAAGAAACATGAATAGAAGCAAAGACAGTCGGGGGAAAAAAAAACGCAGTTGAAATGACATGCGCTAATAAAAACGGACAAATACCATTCAGACACAAGCTTCTCAATAAAGATTTCTTGTGTATATTCACATCCAGCAGCAGCAGCTATACTAAAACACTCAAATTGTTTTGACTCGTGTGCCGACAGCAGGTAAACTGAGAAAATAAAACTGCGTACATTTTTCAGTTCCAAGTAGTTAAACTCACCCTAGCATCACTTTAACAGATATAAAGTTATATCATAGTTACAGCTCGATAGTAATTATTTAAGTATAGTAACTTAAAACAATTTTCTAAAAAACAAAAAAGTTGTTATTACAGATATTGCATTTAGTGATGGAGTTCCTCAGGGTTCAATGCTAGGACCAATACTCTTTACTTTATGCTTCCATTAGGTAATGTTGTTAAACAGCATGGGATACATTTTCATTGTTATGCTGATGATACACAGTTATATTTGTCCATGAAACCCAATTAATCCAATCAGCTACTTAGACTACAAGCATTTCTTAAAGACATAAAAACCTGGATGACCCTAAATTGTCTGCTTTTGAACTCAGACAAGATTGAGGTTTTGGTTTTTGAACCTGAGCACTTTAGGAAAACATTTTTCAGTCTTTCGTCCTCCTTGGATGGCATTAATCTGGTCACCAGTTCTAATGGTAAAAATATTGGTGTTATTTTCGATCAGGACATGTCTTTTATCCCCCACATTAAAAATGTTACTAGAACCACCTTCTTCCACCGCGTAATATCGCTAAAATTATAAACATCTTATCTGAAAATGATGCAGAAAAACTGGTTCATGCATTTGTCACGTCTAGACTGGACTATTGCAATGGTTTATTATCTGGGTGTCCAAATACTTCTTTAAAAAGTTTTCAGTTAATCCAAAATGCTGCTGCCAGAGTCAAGTTGAAACAGCCAGCCGGTCGAAGCAGATGGTCGCTTGTCCTAAGCCTGGTTCTGCTAAAGGTTTCTTCCTCATGAGGGAGTTTTTCATTTCCACTGTCGCCTTCATGCTTGCTCAAGATGAGAGTTCTGCGATGGAGGTAAATTCAAAGCAGTCTGATCCTCAGTTAAATAGTGTTAACAAGTGTTTATATATATATATATATATATATATATATATATATATATGAATGTTCTTGTTCATTGCCCTGAATAGACTTCTGTTGTGACTTGGCGCTATATAAATAAAGTGAATTGAATTTGTGCGTTCACTTTGCAGAAGCAGTATATTTTATTTTATGAGTAATGTCTCTTTACAACACAACTACATTCTTGCATATTCTAGAGGTGCAGAAAACACACCATGTGCTGTCTTTACTAGAACCTACAGACAGACTGAAATATAATAGAATAAAACATTTAGCTGATTCTCTGAGAAACAAGACTATAAAGATTAATGTTCTGTCCTGAGGTTTAACTGTGGTAATAAAAATATATAATAAATAAAACCTTCAAAAGTACATGCAGAAAAAGCAAAGATAAGGGATACTTAAAAAGAGAGGTCAGTTATGAAGGGACGATCATTTCTAAAATGTAAGTCATGCATCATATTTGTGTTTATTGTAATGTGTTCATTTTTCTCTATGATTACTGAGATTGTTGCCAAATGTGATCTGTTGTAAATGTTGTTTTTTGTGTGCAAGACATACAATTAATAAATAAACAAAAAAATCAATGGATTATACTCATTTCTGTTTTACCTCCAATCACTTCCCTTCATCTCATATCATATGGACACTGAATTAACAAAAAAAAATAATTACAAAAAGAAGGAACAAAAAGCAAATTCATCAATTTTAAGTGTGTTTGTTAAACGGTGATCACCAGACAATACTGCCCCCAAAATATTTTCATTTAATGATTTAATAAACTTACATTTTGATTTAAGTTTATTCTCTTGCAAACCAATTATGTTGTCAAGCTCTATAACATTTAAACCAGACTCTTCTTTCCAATAGTTTAATTTTAAGGAGCAATTAGAATAAGTAGGCAAAAGTTCACTATGTGTGCAGTCATATTGACCTTAACTTATTATCATCAGAGCGGGACAGCCTGGCCATCTGGATAAGATGTACCAACGATTAGTGTAAACACCGAAGGGTGTCTAGACACAGAGACCATGAGCTTCATCAGTTGTGTGCTTTAAAATGCAGACTGACATTACATTTTGTCAAGTGTGCACATTCCTTATTTGATCTATATTTGCTTCTATAAGTAAATACTTTGTTTTATAAAACCTATAAATCACAAGACTTCTTTGCAAAAGTCATTTTCATTAAATATTTTTCAAGCTCTGGACCCAACAAAATGAAACATCTGTGATTGGCTGCTGTCTGTCTTGCAGACTATAATACAGAGTGTTCTGCAGGTAAAGGCTACTTTCAGTAATTTCTATATGATTTTATTTGCTTGTTCATGCAGACAGAATTATGAAAACAAGGGAACGTGAGAAAATGCACCGTTTACCTGCATGACGAACTCTCGACGTCGGGGCATTCCTCTCTCAGAAAGCAGCTGGTACTCGGGCTCCTTCTCCTTCTTGGCCTGCTGGATCTGGGCTAGACGGCTGATGGGATTCATGCCTTGACCATAGTCTGGTGCCGTCTTGAAGAAAAAGAGGACAAACATGATCAGTTCCATTCCCCATCCCTTAACATGTGAATGCCGAGTTCACCAATATTTTCCTATTTAGATTTTCTCCTGTATGTTTTTTGCAATCAAACTATTTCTGTACATTTTGTGCTATTTTAATCCTTCATCTACCTAAACATTTCAATTAGGAATACTGTGCTATGACTTCTTAAAAACTCTCATTCTATTCAAAATATTTAACTTTATTTAAAATAAAATGTCTAATAAAAAGAGCTTTTCAAAAACCTTTTATATTTGAAATCTGCTTCAACTAGCTTTGTTTTACTCCATCCTCTTATGCCACTTTTAAATTTCTGCTAGAGTTCAGCTATTTTAATTTTTTACTTTTAAGCTACAGTTTGCAAAGTTTAGCTTTTAGTTACAGTTTTGCTAAGTTTGGCTACTGTTTTTGGTAATTATAGCTTTAGTTTATATTTTGCCTTTTAGCTACTTTTCTGTTGCTTTTAGCATTTAGCCACTATTCTCCTACTTTTAGCCATTCTTCTGCTGCTTTCCTTTTTCCTTGTATTTGACTGCTTTTAGCTTTTGCTCATTTTAGTCTCTTGACCATATTTTTCGGACTATAAGGTGCACTAAGGGGTGCACCGATTGCAGTTTTCTGGCTGATCATGATTTCTAAAAAGTCTGACCTGCCAATTCCGATTTTGGCCGATACTGATTTTGTTTTATAAGCGACACTGTCAGATGTTGTAAGGTCACAATGCACCTTCAATTTTCAGTCTTATTTTGTTGAAAAACATACCCTTGAACAATATCCTAGAAACAATACAAACTTGTTTTAACTGGCCATGAGGTAGTGCTCTGAAATATAACTTAAGTTCAGACAATTGTTGTTAAAAATACAAAAAAATCGGCAAAATCGTTTTCTCATGCAAGTATCGGACGATTTCCCAAAATTAAGGAAATCGAAAAAAAAAAAATTCTTTAACTTTCTCAAAAAATCAAAAGTGAGCCTTATAATCAGGTGCACCTTTTGTATTAATTACTTACTAATTACTTATTAATTACATACTTATGCTCTGCTGTTTTAAATTAAACCCAGTTTTAGCTTATTCCGCTATCATTTAGCACTCAGTATTCACACTGTATTCTTACAGAAAATGTAATTTCTCTAGTTTTATTAAAAAAAAATTAAAATCAGTTCCTAATTTTTCATTTTTGTTTAAAACTAAATGTGTTTCTGTTTTCCTTCTAAAGACACTCGATCTGTTCTAAAAACACAATCACGTATTGTTTGTTTGACCTAATGTGAGACATACTAAGCTCTGCTAAGTTTGGTAAAAAAAAAAATAAAAAAAATAAAAAACTGAAAAATGGAAATGCACAAACCTACCAACTAGGACAGTAGTGAACAAGTACTGTAATTTTCGCTGTATAAGTCAGTTTTTTTGCATAAATGAGCATGCCTGTGACTTATACAGCAAAGTGACATATTTATGTTTTTTCCCCTCATACTTATATTCCAATTTTTGGCTGAGATTTGATGATTTCATTAATTCCGACATGGAAAATATTGAACACTACCCGTTTCAGCCACTAGAGGGCCCTCAACCTATATGGCAAGCAAAGTGTCTCATTAATAGGTAAAAGTGGCTATTAATGAGACACTTGGTTTGCCATATTACCACCTTCGTTTCACTCCGGAACTCCTGGAGCAAACGCCAAATCAACTGCATTTCGCCACGCCGCCCAGGTGAAATGCAGCTGATTTGACCGTCAAAGTGCATTTATTAAGTAAAAGTTAGAATGACACACACCTTTTCTATCATTTTGAGCAAACAAATAATTGTTTTTAAGTGTTTGTTAATATTGTTAAAGTCCTCTTGTACATGCTCCTGCAGCTGCCATTTGGCAGCCAATCAATTTTTGGCGCAACACTGGCCCACATTTCTGGGTAATTAGCGGTGACGCGTAACAAACGCTAGGCGTCAGCAGTGACGCATAATGGATGCGACTTATACAGCGAAGCGACATATTTATGTGTTTTTCCACTTTATTAGACATATTTGGACTGATGTGACTTATACGGCGGTGTGGCGTTTACGGCGGCAAGTATGGTAGTAGGATTATCAAGGAAATCAAATCTTACGATAATTTGGATGTTGTCGGAGCTGTTCACTTGTTTTGCATGTTCTTGTGCGTTCATTTGACCAATCAAGAAGCCGGAAGGCTTTGATAGCATCTAAAAAATACTCGATTACATAACTGTTTAAATCCAAATAATTATTAATCAGAGCATGCTTTGCTTCTCAGACGTTTCCTGCCCGGCTGCTACAGCACCTTGAGGATGGTCTTGGTGCGTTTCTTGTAGTGGGTCTTAGGTTTCTCTATAGTTGGTATGAAGGGCAGCTTCTTCAGGTCCTGCAGGATTGACAGAGCAGCACGCTTCTTGGACAGCTTCTTACTGTTCCCTTCGCCATCAGCAGAAAACTCTCCAACAGTGACACGGGTGAAAAAGCTTTTCATGTGCGGGGGGCCACTCTCCTTCAACACCTGGGAAAGTTATTTAACGGAAAAAGTTACGAAACACACACACACAAAAAGAATTCATGTGAATGCATCAGTGGTTTGTCATTATGTGCAAGCAGCTGCAGGTGGTCCAAAACATCTGCTCTTCGTGATCATACAAAAATCTATCCACCCATATTCACACACAAACACACACATATGAAGTTTAACATGCTCCTAAATGACAGTCTCTGGTGATGAAGGCTCGGTTTCCTTCCTCCAGCCTCTGGTCACCTGGGAGACCTAAAACAAACACCGGCTGGCGTTAGGTCATGCTTCTGCAATCACATCTACTTCCTATGAAGTTTGAGAACAATGTGTGTAGCAGGTGGGGTTCTCTCTAACCTTACATAGGAAAGTGGACTGGAGAAGAATTAGATTTCACACTCTTACGACTCCAGATTTATATGTGCAGTTATCTGACGTATCTGTTCCAGCGCCTGTGTTTAAATGCTGCCTCAGGCCTTGATAGTTTACAGTGATGCTGTTTCCTGTCCTGCATTATTTTCACTGTAGTTGTATGGGTTTCTTTAGAATCTCAACCCTTCCCCCTCCCACGCTCCCCGGCTTTTCTTTTACTCCGGCGCAGACGGCACAAATTATAGCAATCTGTCGCAATCTAGAAACAGTTAATTTAAACCCAGCGGCCGATAAAACTGATTCAGCTGATAAGCAGAACCTTGAGAATTCCTGAGATACTTCACACGTCACCACAGACAAATACCAGACCCTTAAAAAAACAAAAGATAATGTGCACATTTTACTTTCTACACAGCTACACCACACAAAATAATAAGAGTCTTCAGGTTATTTAGGAAATGACATATTTGGTCTAATCTGTGCAAGCAAACCTAAAAACAATAGTTTTCGAATCATAATTGAACGTTTAGAAACCAACTAAAACAATCAAAAATTGCAACTTTCGCTGTAGATTTTGCAGTAAAACCTGTAATTTTTATAAACAAATAAAATGAAATAAAAAGCATTTTAAACTATGATCATCCTACGATGAAAAGGGCTTGAGTAACAGCTATTTTGCTCAGCTCTCGTGAATAACGTTATGCGTTATCTCATGCAAGATGTAATTGCTCTCTGAGTTATGTGTTGTGAATGATGCTAGGTTACTACCACATCCAATTTGAGCTCAATATCTATAAAAACTGACTGAGCCATAGTCGTTTGTGCATTATCTAAGACTGGTTAGCTGTGATGGCCATCTTGAATTGGGTTGACAACAAAATTTAATAAGTTGCATATGTAATTTACCATTACTTTATGAGAGCTTATAAGAGTAATTACAGGATATTCCTAATATCGCTAATAAAATCCACTTGTGGAAAAACGTTAACTCCATGTTAAAGAACTTGAGTATTTCTGCATTGGGAGCTCAAACATAATTCAATTCAATTCCATCCAATTAGCGCCAAGTCACAACAGAAGTCATCTCAGGGCACTGAACAAAAACATTTATATACTGTACATACAAAGTAAGTTAATAACATTAATTGTCTGAGGAGCAGATTGCTTTGGATTTAACTCCATCACAGAACTCTCATCTTGAGCAAGTATGAAGGCGAAAGTGGAAAGGAAAAACTCCCTCATGAGGAAGAAACCTTTAGCAGAACCAGGCTCAGGACAAGCGGCCGTCTGCTTCGACCGGCTGAGTTTGATAGGAACAGATACACAATGGCAGGTCAAGAATCACGTTAAGATAGAAAATGTATCAAATTAAAACTATTCAATTTTAACAATCCATTTTAATAAATGAGGTCAGTTTGTCCTCCAGTAGTCTAAGCCTATAACAGCATAACAAGCCAACCCTAACTATAGGATTTATCAAAAAGGAAAGACTTAAGCCCAGTCTTAAAACTGGACAATTTGGAAATTGGTTCCACAAGAGAAGAGCCTGACAACTGAAAGATCTTCCTCCCATTCTGCTTTTGTAAACTCTAGGAACTGCAAGTAAACCTGCAGTCTGAGAGCGAAGTGCTCTGTTAGGAAAATATGGAGCAATAAGAGCTGTAATAAAAATGGAGCTAGGTTGTTGAGAGCTCTGTAGGTTAGAAGGAAGATTTTGAATTCAATTCTGGATTTGACAGGGAGCCAATGGAAAGAAGCTAAAACTGGAGAGATATGATCTCTACTACTAACTCCAGTTAAGACTCTGGCAGCAGCATTTTGGATCAACTGAAGACTTTTAAATAAATATTTGGACACCCAATGCAATAGTCCAGTCTAGACGCAACCAATGCATGAACCAGTTTTTCTGCATCATGTTTTAGTATTATTTTTTTCTTTGGACCGTCACCCAACGTTGGATGTAAAGGATGTGTGTTGCAGGGAAGTCTGAGTAGTTGCTGAACTCCCTCCAGTCCCTGGGACCTACTCTGGTTTTCTTTTTATCTACTTGTTCAGGCTGTCTCTCCCTGCTTGTCCATCACAATGAACACATGTAAGTGCTCAGCTTGAGGGTGAGCAAGACAGAAACCAACACAAACATGGCTACATCCCTGATTGGGCTTGAACAAAAGGTCATCTTTCCACACAAAAACACAAACTCAATTCAAGATAAACATTTTCCTCCAGCTTTGGTGAATCTAGGCATCCTAGCGAGTGGCTGGCCAAGACATGTACCACGTGAGTGTGCTGCTCCCAGTTTGATTTTGTTACATGTCGTTGTTTAGTTGTCAGGCAACAAGTAAAGACTCCAGGAAGTTATGGGTCCTGGCCAAGAAATACTTTGAAACACAAATCCCCACCCCCCCCCCCCACCCCCCCTGTAAACAGTAAATAGTTGAGTTAAAACAAGAAACAAAGTCTAATTCATGAAGTTTGTCATTTGGAGGTATTAGAATTCAAATTTTGTCTCTTTTGGGCAAGTCTAACTAAATATATTACGTTTGTTTAATTGTGTCCAGCTAAGTAGCACATTGCTCCAATTACAGTGACTTGTGACAGTATTCGGCCCCCTTGAACTTTTCAACCTTTTGCCACATTTCAGGCTTCAAACAAAGATATAAAATTTTAATTTTTTGTGAAGAATCAACAACAAGTGGGACACAATCGTGAAGTGGAATGAAATTTATTGGATGTGTCAAACTTTTTTAACAAATAAAAAACTGAAAAGGGGGGCGTGCAATATAATTCGGCCCCTTTACTTTCAGTGCAGCAAACTCACTCCAGAAGTTCAGTGAGGATCTATGAATGATCCAATGTTGTCCCAAATGACTGATGATAAATAGAATCCACCTGTGTGTAATCAAGTCTCCGTATAAATGCACCTGCTCTGTGATAGTCTCAGGGTTCTGTTCAAAGCGCAGAGAGCATCATGAAGACCAAGGAACACATCAGGCAGGTCAGAGATACTGTTGTGGAGAAGTTTAAAGCCGGATTTGGATATAAAAAGATTTCCCAAGCTTTAAACATCCTAAGGAGCACTGTGCAAGTGATCATATTGAAATGGAAGGAGTATCAGATCACTGCAAATCTACCAAGACCCAGCCGTCCCTCTAAACTTTCATCTGGAACAAGGAGAAGACTGATCAGAGATGCAGCCAAGAGGCCCATGATCACTCTGGATGAACTGCAGAGATCTACAGCTGAGGTGGGAGAGTCTGTCCATAGGACAACAATCAGTCGTACACTGCACAAATCTGGCCTTTATGAAAGAGTGGCAAGAAGACAGCCATTTCTCAAAGATATCCATTAAAAGTGTTGTTTAAAGTTTGCCACAAGCACCTGGGAGACACACCAAACATGTGGAAGAAGGTGCTCTGGTCACATGAAACCAAAATTGAACTGTTTTGCCACAATGCAAAATGATATGTTTGGCATAAAAGCAACACAGCTCATCACCCTGAACACACCATCCCCACTGTCAAACATGGTGGTGGCAGCATCATGGTTTGGGCCTGCTTTTCGTCAGCAGGGACAGGGAAGATGGTCAGAATTGATGGGAAGATGGATGGGGCCAAATACAGGACCATTCTGGAAGAAAACCTGTTTGAGTCTGCAAGAGACCTGAGACTGGGACGGAGATTTATCTTCCAACAAGACAATGATCCAAAACATAAAGCCAAATCTACAATGGAATGGTTCACAAATAAATGTATCCAGGTGTTGGAATGGCCAAGTCAAAGTCCAGACCTGAATCCAATCGAGAATCTGTGGAAAGAGCTGAAGACTGCTGTTCACAAATGCTCTCCATCCAACCTAACTGAGTTCGAGCTGTTTTGCAGGAAGAATGGGCAGAATTTCAGTGTCTCCATGTGCAAAACTGACAGAGACAAACCCCAAGAGACTTCAGCTGGAACTGCAGCAACAGGCGGCGTTACAAAGTATTAACGCAAGGGGGCCGAATAATATTGCACGCCCCACTTTTCAGTTTTTTATTTGTTAAAAAAGTTTGACACATCCAATAAATTTCATTCCACTTCACGATTGTGTCCCACTTGTTGCTGATTCTTCACAAAAAATTAAAATGTTATATCTTTATGTTTGAAGCCTGAAAAGTGGCAAAAGGTTGAAAAGTTCAAGGGGGCCGAATACTTTCGCAAGGCACTGTATATATTATTTCAGACTGACATGAGAAATGTTTAAACTTTTCATCTTCAGGAACTTTTGCCAAAAATGAAAAACAGTTTTAGAATAAACTTTTATCTCTTTAAAAATGAAGCTGCAATTAACAATAAAATGACCATTGGATTTTTTTTTTGTTGTTGTTTGTTTTGCTATATTGGTACAAAGACTGTAAATTTCCTTGAGATATTATGGTGCAATTTTTTTAGGCTTCATCACCCAGCTCTAGCTGTGAAGTTACATGTTCAGTTCTATAAAAGTTTGGCAGAAAGTCAAAGCCTGTTTTAATTGTTCACTGCCTTTGACCATGGCGGCAGACAAGCTGCTTCCATTTTTCCTGGCAAACGATACAAATTATGCACCTCACTGATGGTATTTCATGATCCCATTCACCTAGAAGCTCTGCCGCATACACATACATGCAAACAAACACACTAACACACCTGTCTACTACTTGATGACAGGGAGATCAGGTTGTACACAGGAAACCTTCCGTAATTCAATGTAGATTTTTTTTTTCTACCAGTCTCCCTTTCTTAATCTTTTCTTATTTAAACATGGGAGGCCTTCTCTTCGGCTTCTCATTGAAACATTAATACTCTGAGCGTCTAAGGAGCTAAGAACTCAGGTACTCTAGAAATGGAGACTATGCGAGCAGGAAAGGACAATGGTTGGACTAGCAGAGGGAAGAAAGGCCCTTTTGTGATGAGAGGTGGATGGACATGTCCTGAGGGAAAACTGCTCCTTGTAAGATGGGTGGTTCTTGGCTGGGACCCTCTTCTCTTATGTCCTCCTCACTAGCCCCCAATTCAACACACGAGCTGTGATTTATAGATTGGTTCCTCTTTGATGCTGACATCTGTTTGATATTGCCTGACAGGGGGATTAAATGAGCCAACTGGCTCTTGGGGTGGTGGTGTAGTGGACTTTTGTTTTCCTTGCTGGATTACTTTTGACTTTTGTTTTCCTTGCTGGATTACTCTTGACTCTGGTTTCTTTGCTGGATTACATCAAGCTTCAAGGACAATCGACGGCGTAAGTCCATAGTTGGAATTCATCCCCATGGACAGGTGATGATTTCCAAAGGGGGGACTGTAGTGGACTAGGCCCATGTCAAAAACTAAGTCTAAGGTCAAAAATCTTGACCTTAAGAACCTTGTGGGACAGGAACTGTCATTTCATTGATTTGAATCCAGAAATACAGGTTCACCCATCCTGAGACTTTCTCTCTTGAAGATTCAATGTGAAAGAACACTCTCTTTTTTATTATCATTACTATTTTACAAATGTTGATAATCAAAATGTCTTAGTTCAAACCATTTTAGATGTTGCAGTGAACTAATCAATTTTATTAACTGTGTAATGATTTTTATTCTCATGCAAAGTAGAACTCATGTCAAAGCTGTTACAGAGTAATTATGCCTTTTCTGATTTCTGCTTTTGAATGAGCAAGTGTAAGTTGGTCCAAGGTTGGAGTCAAACGCAAAACAAGTTGTTAGAACTAACTGTCATGTTTTTAGAATCCTCTCAGACATAAATATAGAGGTTTTTGGCACCTGTTTCTGAAACGCGCCAAAACAAAACTATCTCTGTCTGTGAGAACATTTCTGATCTGTTTCATAACAATTCTTGCTGTCTTCTAACCTCTTACGTCACAAAACACACCCCGTCTGGTCGGTTCTGGCCAATGGGAATACTCCCAAGAGTGAACCGGGAAACAGCTCTTTAAAATGTCAGTACTTCCTGGTCTACTCAGTTCTGGGAAGCTCTGCTCGAGTTCGGTGAACAGTTCAGTTCTGTTAGAAGCTCTGGGATGGTGCTGGAACAGTTCTGGGACAGTTCTGTTCAGTTCTGATGGAGATGGGAAGGTCCTGACATGACAACAGAGCTCTTCCGAGGTTCATGGGATTATAACATTTTCCACTGAGGTGAGCTTGTGTCGGACAGACTCGCCGCTACTCCGGAGGAGTAACAGCATCCTACGGAGACGCTGAAGGGTGCGTTAAACGGAATCTCGCCTGAAGACAGCTCCAGGTAAAAGAGTCGATTCCACCACCGAAGTGTACCGTAAGAAAAGCTGAAGAAAGCCCAGAGAGTGCCGTTCTGTTAACACACTCCCTCAAACCCCATCCTTTACTCTTCTTTAACTTCTTTCATCTTTAAACTTTTCTCTCAAATAGAAATTCTTCCAGATATTTTAGAAATGTCTGTGTAAAATGCTCACCCACATCCATGTGGGTAAAAGATCATAATTGTACAGTTTCATAAATGTCTGTGGTGAAGCAACGGAAAAATCATGGCCGTATGATTTTTCCTGATTGATTGCTTATGTTGTTATTTTCATAATTTGCCAAATTAATGTAAATGTTTGATGTTAAACTTTGATTCTGTAAATAAATGACCGCATTCATTTTGATGGGTCAAACATAAATGACGTCTCACGTTTGCATTTCCTTAAATTCAATGCACGTTTTATTCAGTCCAGAAAAATGAGGAATCCGTGTTAAATGATGAATATATCTGAGCATCTGTTCATCTACAGTGGCGACCCTCTTCGTAGCAGAGTGATGGGAAAGCAGACTGTCGACTCATGGGTAATTGCGAACCTCACCGAGGGGAGGGATGAAATGTGTAAAAACATGGCTGATGTTAAAGGCATTCACATGAAAGAGCATGATTAGGGCTTTGTGTAGGATGCACGGATGTGCAACTACGTGTATCAGCAAGAGTGTTTGACTTGGCGTTAGTGGGTACACGGATTCTTCTCAGCACATTAAAGATGACGTGATAAAGATGACATGACAATGCAAGAAAAAAAAAAGAGGCCAACATTTTTCCAAAGGGTTAATATATAATGAACCAAGAGGTTTAAAAGAACCTAAAGACGTGAGGCATTAAGAGACTGATGTTAAAAAGGGGCCGTTTCTTTCCTTTGCTGTCTCCATGTTGTTAATAAAGTGAAGATGCAATGCAATCTGCTAGCTTTGTTAGATGATGGCATTTCATAATGCACTGTATGTGAATGTAGTGCATTATAACTGGAATTAAACTAAGTGGCTTTAAATCTATATTTTAATTGGATTTATAATTTGAACTTTTATCTTATAGGGGGAAATTTTGATTTCATAATCCTGGATTTTTGTCTTTAGTTACTTTTAGCAACTATAGTTTAGGTAGTTTGTTGTACAAGCAGGCTTAAAATTGATTGTAAACAAACTCCAAAAGTCTTGTACATTATATATTCACTCATAGATTAAACAGTTATTGGCATTAGACTTTACTGGAAGTAAAATAAAGAATGTTTCCAGTTAGTAATTTTTGTTAAGTTCAGTCTTTTTCCCCTCCTACACCAAGTTTTCCTTTTTTCTTTTTAATATTGCATTTTTATGTGTATATTTATGTTGCTAATCACTTAACTGTTTGAGTTTCTAAAAGCTGAAAGTTACAGATTTAATCCAGAAGAGTGACTGTTTGGAGGAGTGTGATGGGAGTCTTCTTTTCATTTTAAAAAGTGAAAGACTGAAAATGAAAGTGGTGTAATTACTGATAGTGTCAGAGATTTAACAAATGATGAATCACTTTAACCCAGATTTAGCTGGCTAAAATAATTAATGCGTTCAGGAAACGACGGGGATGTTCGGCTCTGATGAGCAAATGTGTTGTCAAACAAAGAAAGGAAAAGGGTGTGAAGAGATGGACTAAAAAGATTTTCAGATTATTCTCAGAATGTTTGAACTGTTTTCAACAAGCCAAAAATGTGTTACCTCTGCACCCTGTCTGCTTTTACTCCACAAACAAACTGCCCCATATGTGATTTTTGGGGGTGACGGAGGTGGAAGAGAGAGGAAGGGAGGGGGAGGACACAATGTAAACCAAGCTTCACTTGGTTTTGGCACCTTGTTGAGCACAAAAAGAAGATGGGTGGTGGCTGAGAGAGAGAATATTACATGAGTCAGCGAGGATATGATAAAAGCCAAAAAGAGCAGCAAGTCAAATGAGGACACGTTAAACTATGGGATGTTTCGAGGCTCCGAAGTTTGGAAAAGCCAAGGTAGGATTCTCTCAAAATGAAGAAAGTGAGCAAGTTAATAAAAAAATAAGAATAAAGTAAAAATTAAAAATGACAAGTACCATATTTTTCACTAAATAAGTCGCACCTTTCTGCATAAATTTGCAAGTCATGCAACTTATACACTGAAGCGACTAATATACGTTTTTTTCCCATATTTATATTCCAATTTTTGGCTGAGATCTGACGATTTCATTCATTCTGACATGGAAAATATTGAACACTACCATTTTAAGCCTTTAGAGGGCCCTAGACTAATATAGGAAGCCAAGTGTCTCATTAATAGGTAAAAGTGGATATTAACGAGACACTTGGCTTGCCATATAATCACCTCTGTCTCGCTCCAGAACTCTTGGAGTAAACGTCAAATCAGCTGCATTTTGGTGCGTCACCCTTGCTAAATGCAGCTGATTTGACCATTAAAGTGCATTTATTAAGGAAAAGTTAAACTGAGACACACCTTTGCTATGATTTTGAGCAAACAAGTAATAGTTTTTAAGTGTTAATCTTGTTAAATTCTTGTTAAAGTCCTCCCATGCATGCTCCCGCCATTTGGCAGCCAATCAGTTTTTGGTATAACACCGGCCCACGTTTCCGGGTGGTCAGCAGTGGCACACAATAGATGCGACTTATACGGCGGCAAGTACGGTATGTGAATCAGCATTAACTAAGCTCATTCTGATTTAGCTAATCATGCTATAAAACATCCATAACACCAAATAAATCCTCCTACGGTTCACTCTTTTAAAAAAAAAGTTGACCTCACATATCAACAGATTACATGTCCTGAAATATAACAGAAGGCAAATGACTCATTCAGCTTTCTGTTATATTTTCATTCAACCACAGTAGTGTGTATTTTTAGCAATACTTTCCATATTGTTGCTGGGAAAACATGACAAATGTTGTAATATCTAAATGATTAGCATTAATCTCTTCCCACATTCTTTCTGAGTTACAATTCACTTTATTCCCAGTAATAATGACATCCTGAAGACTAACAATGATGAGTTCCTCTGTGTAATATATGACAAATCTGTCCTGTTGTTTTTACCTCAAAATTGACTGATAAGTTCCTCTTGAGGGCGATTTCATAAACCAGGCTTATCTCAGATTTGCTCGCATCAGCTCCCTCTGGAGTTTCCCCCTTTTCCTCTGGGCTCTAGAAAAAAAAAGTTTTTTTAAATTATGAAGTAATTCACTTGAAAACTTTTGAAAAAGATATTTAGGGGTCAGTCACAAAAACAGGGAAGGTACTACTGTTCACTGAAGTACATTATAATTAAAAATTGTGACTTTTAATGTCATAATTTGTAATTAAAGCAAAATGGCAATGTTACAACAGCCTTCAAATGTTTTTTAAATTCCTGAAGCAAACTAAAATTAGAGCAATACAAGTTTGCAGATGAGACTCCACCTGCAGAAGAACTTTGCTAAAGTATAATGTATCTGGAAACTGCTACAATCTTTTTTATAAAATCCTTAATGATGATATGCTGTTCCTTTTTATTGCAAATTTTACAGCAAACCATGACTTCAAAACAGTGGCTAAATAGGTTTAGCCACAAAAAGTCAGCCTAACTTTTAGCATTTGAAGCGTTTTGTTTTATTCAACCTTTATTTATGCAGGTGAGTCTCACTGAGTCACGAGGACTTATTTTCAAGACTGACATGTTTTAGACAAAACCACAGATAAAATACACACAACAATAAACAGCCATAAAATGCATATAAAATAAAAAGTAAATAAAAGTAGTGATATAAAACAAAATAAAATGAAGCTACATTATGAAACGAGGTAAAATACTAAAAACAGGAACATGTTTGCATTGATTTGTGCATTGAACTTAATTGTTTAAATCTCTTAGAGAGGTCAAAGTCAACAGCTTCAGATATTTTTGCAAGGTGTTCCAGGTTACAGGAGCAGAGTAAGATAAGATCAGTAGTGAGTATCTTACCTGCAGTATAGCTATCAGCGTGATCTCACTCTGGATGAGCTTCTCATGTTGGAGTCAGACTAACTGATAATCAGGCTGATAACAGCTCAAACTTTAAAAACTCTAAAACTCTGGGTTTTTACACCTCATTACTTTGACTGCTCGGCTCACTGGACCAGTTCTGAGCTGATACAGAACACTTATCAGAGCTGATCAGCTCATAGTTGGTGAGTTTATCTGACAAAGTGGGTGTTACTGTTCACGGTGTTCATCAAGGTTCAAGTCTTGGCCCAGTTTTATTCAGTCTTCACGCGCCTCCGTGTCGCTCAGAAATGGGATGTGAACAATTTGTTGGTTTTCAGCATACAGTACTCATTTAACCTGGAACTGAGAAACTGAAGGATGATTGGTAAGCCTAATTTTGTACATCAAGAATAATATAAACTACATCTGAAACTTGTTGTTTACACAACTAATGTATTAGTAAATAAAACTGAACAGAATGACCTGCAACTTCCTTAAAACTAGTTAAATTCAGAAACACAGATTATTATAACTACCCAACCAATCAAAATTTGACAGAATGATTGCATGTTTTTAGGTCAAAATATGTCTGTACAAAATGTTTTATTTCATCTGCAATTTCAAACGTATCCTCAATGACTCGAGTTTGAGCTTTCAGTGATTTGTAAAATGATTAGACTAATTAGATCAATAGTTAAAAACTATTATTTTCAAACCAATTATCAAGTTACAGTCACTTCAGCTAATAATAAAACCGAGTTCACACCAGCATGCATGAGCCGTACAACAAGAGGCTTTTTCCAGCCAGTTGTCTATGGGAATGCTCTTTATCTTTTCATGTCCAACTCTTTGTCTGATTAAGGCTGAAAGGCTGCAGTCTTCCCGCCCTGGGCTCTTTCCTCCTCGCCCTGCTTCATTGTGTGACCTGATATGGCCTGATTATTACTTTGAGATGAGATTTCTTGGATTTCACAGGGTTCTCTCACATTGTACCAACTGTACTGTACAGAGCCAAAAGTTAATTCTAGCAAGACATACATGTATTTTGTTATGATGCATGCGGCACTGTGGAAAAGTTCGTGGCAATTTAGATGTTTATAATACCAGTCATTGTGCAGAACTATCAAGATAGTGTTTGAGAAGTCCTTAAATATTTTTGTAGTACAAAAAAAAAAAAAAGATTCTACAATAAAATAAAATTTGTATAAATTAGATCAACTGACCAATTAGGGTTTGTCAATGGCCAGTACAAATGTCAGAGCAGCCAATGGCCAATTTATAAAGCTGATTTTTGTCCAATTACTATTGAAGTTTAGAATTCATACAATTACCGGTACACTGTAAAAAATTTTGAAAACAAAAAAATAAGAGAAAGGAAGAAAAACAGTGATTGAAGAAATTTGGAACGATGCTTACAGTAGGGTGTGTGATAGTCAATGGTATGAAAAGAATACTGCTGGGTTATGAGTATTTTTAGACAAGACAGCTGCTCATATCTGAAAGACTGCAAACACTTTTATTTAGTAAAAGTTTACTACAGCTATATTTCAGTCAACTTCCTTCAGGATCTGCCTGTGTTGAGCCAAAATAAGCACCCCTGCCAAGAAATGTACCCTAGTTACAGGGAACATTCAGTGTACTAACATTATCCTAGGAAGTCGCCTTGTCCTGTCAACAGAACCGAGCACCCTGCTAACAAAAATCACCCGCCGCCGAAAGTTCCGCTACTTCTGGATATGGAGCGGAAATTGTAGCCACAGGACAATTGGCTTCGAACTAATGCTAGGTCGAAGCCAACTGAACTAATGCCCCCAACAGGCCTGCCACAATAACAAATTTTGCTGGGCGATTGTCTCAGAAATTATTGAGAAAAACAATAATATTGTTTGAAATTTGAAAATAATTAGTAATTATTGTCAAATTTAAGAATAAATGTTTGTTAATTTGTTTTGCGTGTATTACCTTTTTCGACCACCAGATGGCAATATAAGACTGTTTGAACTAAAGGATGGATAGTAAGGGAGCGAGTAGCGTGTCTCTTTAATAAAAAGGACTCTTGTAAATGAGTCCTCGAGGCTCAATGTGACTTACCTATCTAAATAAAGGTTGAATGAAAAAAATGGGAGTGAGGACCCTTGACATGACATGGGCTGTCTCTCTTCGATTCTCAAAATGGCGGACGCTTGGTGTGGTTTGAGCTCTTTAGCATAGCATTTTTCACACAAAGCTTTTAATTAAAAAAAAAAAAAATCAGTTAACAAGTTCTCAGCTTCTCTTTGCAGAGAAAAATAACTTTACACGAAGGCACGATTTTCAACTGTTAATTTTGGAGCTTCGACAAGACGGAGTCCCCCCCCCCCCCCCCCCCCAGGTCGGCCTGTTAGCTTAGCTCGTAGCTTAGCTGCTTTTAACGATCCAAAAACGTGATTTTGGACAGAGAGACACAAAGAAATGATAAAGCCGATAAATGAAACTGAGGTCGATAATTTTCATTTACCATGCGATTAATTGATTTATTGTGTATCGCGACAGGCCTCCCCCCCCCCCCCAAGTATAACATTTCTGCACATATCCCTACCAAATAATTAAATAAAAACATTTTTAAAGAGGCAAAAATTGATCAGTAAATAATTAGGCCAATAATTAGGTCTATTCCTGGTGTTTATACAAAATTCTGAATCTATGTTTACCACAACATTTACAAAGTAGACTAAAAACTATATTATTCTGCCTTATCTATCAAACTCCAGAGAGTGACTCAGCCAAGTTTTCTTTTATTCTTACATGAAATTCAAAATGAATTTCAGACGGTTCAAGGTCGCATTTTCCTCTTTCACTATGAACACTTAACGTGTGACTGACAGTGTATATTTAATTTCAAGGTTGTCTTACAAAGTTTCTCATTCTCACTTACACAGACTTTTGAGTTTTTACGGAATGCTTTTAATAATGTTCTGTCTGCTCTGCAAAAAGAAACAGGTTTTACATGTACGCAAAATCAAGCCCATGGTATTTTCTAATAAAATAGAGGTGTCAGCAAATATCCCATCAATTTTATCTCCACGAGAAAAACATTAAGAGCTTGTTTTAATCTATTTATGCTTGGGTTTTCTCTTTGATTGAGAGCAACTATTTAAAGCTCACAAAGCTAATTTGTGCAAAACTCAAGGAGCGGTTAGGTTTTTATTATTGAAATAATGCATGTTTCTCACTTAAGTTACTTATCAGCAACCTTTATGTCTTTGTTTGATTATAGTGATGTGCTGTACATGTGTCCTGTCCAAATGTCTCCAGTCCCTGGACACTACCACAGCAAGCTCACTCATCACTGTGAGCAGTACACTAAATCTGACTGGTCTTCTCTAAGTGCATGCAGGTATACCCACTAGATGACTCTAACATCCCACCCCACTAGGCTTAGTTCCATCTTATTAGTGAACTTTTCTACAAAAGAACTATACTTACGCTCTAACATTGTTGTCCATCCATCAGTTCCTTGTGTCTGAACTGAATTAGGGGAAATAAAAACATTCACTTTTCTGCCCCCTTGGTGTGGAACACCCTACAGACTGATGTAAAATTGTCAGACCTTTCTTTTGGAGCTTTTTGTTTTATCATGAAAGACAGTGCGTCCTTAGGCGGCTGTGGCGAGCTGGACTGGGAAGCTCAGTCCTCACCTCCTTCTACAGGTGTGCAGTGAAGAGCATCCTGTGCTCCAGCATCAACGTGTGGCGTGGAGGCTGCACAGCTGCAGAAAGAAAAGCTCTGCAGAGAGTGGTGAAGGCACAGAAGTCTGTTGGGAGTCAGTCTCCCCACCATCACAGACATCTACACCTCCAGATGCAGGAAGAGGGCCAACTGCATCATGAAGGACCCCACTCACCCAGCACATACACTTTTTGCCCCGCTCCCCTCAGGCAGGGGGTTGTGGAGCATTAAGTGTAGAACCAATAAACAGAAGAACAGCTTCTACCTTGAAGCTGTTAAGACTCATGAAACCTTAACCAGGAAAATCACTGTAATGCCAGTTTAATTGGTGATATGTGACTTATCTGTGCTGCTGATTATCCATGCTGCTGATCTCATGCTGATGTATTCATTCATACGCATCTGCCCACCACAGACTCATGTTCGGGCTGCTGTTGTTATGCCGTATTGTTTTACATTATTAGTGTTTAGAGTATATATTAGATCTTTTAGCGTACCATTTGGCGTTTGTTTGCCGTATATATTAGTGTATATCTTAGATCCTTATATACTGTTTCTTTTTATACTTTATATTTTTGGGTGCAACTGGGACCCTGTGTACATAATTTTGTTCCACCTCATGTATCACATGTGATGGAACTGACAATAAAGTTGACTTGAACTTGAATCCTTTGAACATTGAGTGTGTTTCTAACCACTGAAAAATGGTAAAGGAAAAAAAAAAAAGAACTGAAAGGGGACACAGAAAATAAAACATAGCTAGGTGCAAACTAGATTTCAGGAATTAAATGGTACATTAGAGTAATTAGAGCTGAGGTGGATTTAATTTTAAATTGATTAAAGTTAGATAAGTTCTCATTTTAGTAACTGCACAAAAATACTCAGCACTGCAGGGCCATTCCAGAAAAAAAGAAAAATAGATCAGCAGCATAGAAGCCTTATAGTTTTATGCAAGCACGACTTTCTAGCTTGGAGGAGTCGATTTAGACCTCAGAGGTGAAGGCATTTATAAAGAGACAAAAGTACTGAAGGAACAAAGATGAAATAAAAAGACAGTATGAGTAAAGGTCAAAGGTAGCTTGATGTTTCATAAGGGTCAGGTCTGTGCAGATAGCACAATTACAAATAGTATTAGAGAACTTTTAGCACTTGTATACCTGCGGTGGCCGTTCAGGGATGGGTTCATTGCGCAGGGCTTGAAGGGCTTTCATGGCAGCGTTGTGTCTTGCCGCTTGGCGGGTTCGTCCATCCCCAATAAACTCTCGACTCCCCACCGAAAGCTGCACGTAGAAGATCTTAGGAACTGGATAATGGTACCTGGAACAAAACAAAATTAAACATTTATAAGCAAGAAAGCCAACTATCGTAACAATAACCAAGTCAGGAGTAAATTGAAATATTTGTCTACTCTGAACAAGACTTAAAAGAAATTTAAAAAAAAAAGGAAAAAGCAGCTCTAACCCAGTTAACAATTCACCCAGTTTACACCATTTCTAAATTAAAGACCCACCACTTTATCAGGGTCAATTACTACACAATAGACTGTTGGCCAACCACTTGAGTAATGCGTCGCTATTGAATCTCAGCTCATGGATGCAAAACAAAGCACAGGAACATATATCCTCTCCTCTTTCTTCTCGCCCTGAACATAGATTACACTCTCTTTCACTGAGCCTTGACAGAGTGGGGCTGAACTGTCACTGTGCAGATTTAAAGGTCTGCATGTGCGATACCCACTCCCCTCCCCTCCCCCCCAGGTCAGGAAGAGAGGAGCTGAAGACAAGGACTGTGGTCAAGGAAAGAGAAATAGTGGGAAAACTAATAAGAGAAGCAAGAAAAACAAAGACTTTAATATCCTTCTGCCTGTCAGCTTTAATCTCTGCAAACATACACCGATATTCACAGAGATATACAGACTCCATATGTGGTCGCCACAAACTGAGATTTATGGAAATATGTCTCGATTAGGGTCTAGTTCCTAGACTGCATTTGGTATTTTCAAGTTTTTAATGAGAAGAGTCTTTCACTGGGGAATATGAGAAAGTTCCCCCCCCCCCCCCACTGTTTCCAGAAAATAAAGCCAATTAAATGTTACTGCCTAATTATCTATTTTACTGTGTAAACCAGGAATGCACGATACTGGATTTTTGGCCGATATCCAATATGATAAAACTTATTTGGCCGATAACCGATACCAATACCGATATCCCCCCCCCCCCCAAGACCTACTTACAGAGACTACATAGCTTTCTCTGCTGTGGAATTAAAATACTACATTTTTCTGCATGGTCTTTGTCAATTTGGCCTGCTACCAAATGCAGATGGGGGCTGAAAACACTTCAACTTTGATAATGAATAATGTCTAATTTATTCATGACATTTACTCTCTCTAACACATTGACAACAGTAAAACAGTGCAAATTTGTACATTTTCACAAATCTAAACTCAATAGCACGCGTGATGTCATAACGTTACAGGCATCCTTGTCACTGGGTTATCATACAAAACAGTAACAGTGCTTTTATTTATATATATATATATATATATA